AATGCATATCCACAACCCTACAGTAACCGATGAAGTTCTAAAGGTTATACGTTTACCACGAGACCTGGGCATCCTGGGTTCGATCACCGGTAGGGTCATTGGTACGTATTTCTGAGACGTCCTATGGTATGAAAAAAAACTACTGTGTTTCTTGGTTTTTAATTGTTGCCTAATTAAGAGCATTCCGTGATATAGACTATTAAATTCAATTATTTATAAAAAAGCTTCTGTGGTCGTTTATTTTTTCCTTTATTTATATGCTTGAGTTGGAATTTTTGAAAAAACGTTTCGTGAATTGAAAACATTACAGGTACATAGTTTAAATGATCGTCTTCATATTTTCCTTCTTCCAGAATTCCAGGTTGGGGCTTGCCTCGTAATGCAGTTAAATAATTTCCGTAATGTATCTCCTGTTCACCTCCCTCGTTCTTCCATAATTTTCTCAGCTGAAAGTTGTTTTATTCTCTGTTGCAGTAGATCGCTGATGGTGTCTGGCCGATGGACACCGAGTACCTTGTGTAGACAGTTGTTCATAAATACTTGTACTTTTTTGATTATGGTTGTAGTAGTTCTCGAAGTTTCAGCTCCGTGCAGTAGAACTGCCTAGGATAGGCCTGTATAGAATAACATTTTTTAAAATGTGTAATTCAAATGAACTTGTTTTTAGTAGGGATTAGTATACAAAAGCTTTTCAAATTCAGTAATATTGTAAACCCGGTGATCACAGCATATTTCGACTAATGTTGTACACTCAGTACAATTGAGTGAGGTACAGGATGTGTCCTTGACTTTGTAATTTATCTGCCTCTCAATGCTCGATATGTATGCAATATCTAGGATTTTCCCGTCCATTTAGTGAGGGAATTCTACATATAAGGAGCATAAAATTCACTGTGGATCTCATTTCAAACTCTTAGTTCCCTTTTATTTGCTTTTTTTTTCATCCGGTAATTTGGGCTGCGCGACAATAGCGTTTTCATAAAAGACATAAATAGATAACTTTAAATTATTAAAATGAAGTTTCGAGTAGAAATTACAGTTATATGCAACACTGACATACTAAGTAAACGGGGATATACTAGATATCACACTTTTATTGAATGTTAAGAAAGTATGATTAATGGAATTTTGCATTTAATTTAAAACTGCTTAAATTCCTGCTGTTTCAATTAATAGAAAAATATATAATGCTGTTAAGATTGCATGCTTATCATGACCTTAATTAAGCTCAGTACATCACTAGAAAATTCTGGCGCCTTGTTATTGAACGGTCAGTCTGTTAGTCCATTCAGTGACTTATTTTTTCAGACAATCGATTAATACGAAATATCAACCAATCAAAATACTTCATTTCGAGTTACTTTCATCAGTTCATACAACAATCATTATGTTTTGTCATAGTGATTGTAATTAACTAGTTATCTGGTTATGAAGTCGGCCCTAAATTCTGGCATAGACATGAATGAAAATTAGTCGTGCCATTTTCTATTGTGCTATTTTATTCTGTTCATAGTATAAAACACCTTTTCTAATTAGGGAATATGTTTTTAAATTAATACAAAGTTTCTAATAGTACAATGTCACACAAAATACTTGGTTGTGTAACTTGTTTCGGAAAAAAACATAATTGTCAAAACGTTAAAATACTTGGTTTCTTTTGTAACAATAAAGTTGCTTTGGGAGTAGGATAAACACTTTTTTCCAGATATAATTCAACATTAGTTGATACTGTTGAAACTAACTGTATGATAAAACTTAATCTGTAATCAAAGAATGACATAATAAATAAATAAATAAATAAATTAATTAATTAAATAAACAGGTAATTCGGAGTATATCAAGTCTGAATATATTACTGTAATTTTATGCAAGGAAAATGCTCTAACCTATGTATATTGATGAAATTTAATTCTCAGTCCATAAAATCATTTACCTCTGAACTAAGCTGTGTTTGTAAGTTCAGACTACTTGGTCGGCTGAATGATCACAGCGAATGGTTAGGAATTTTGGGCTATGTGGCTTATAGATATACTCACTATTTTTCCATCTTCCAGATTTTGGGTTTTAGTATTACTCTAAGTATATCTTCTTTGTAAACTACATTCTCAGTGTTTAGTTGATGGAACTAAACTGTTCTAACGGCCTTGAAACAAATGAAAATGGCCAGTCAGGATGGAGATAGCGGTTGTTGGGTTGACGCGCGATTTTCAAAATGCAGTTATGGATAACCCACTACCGAAACTATTTTTTTTGGACTAGGTTTTTTATTTTGGCTAATTTGGTCGGTAATATGATCGTTGATCACTTATAGAACCTTGGAATATTGAGAGATAGCATCTTATCTAACCGTGGACATAAAATAACAAGGAGAGAAAATCTAGAGTCCAGGGATGCGGTTGTTATACACTGCACTAGATGTTGAGAAAATAAGTCTATTGGAAATGACACTCTCATGATCAACTTTATGATTAGTTTACACAACCTACATTCTGGCTGTCTAACATTCGACCGGTTAATCTCAAATTCACTTTTAAAATCGCTTAAGGTGGTCAGTTTCGTTAAGTTTTAATGTTTAGTCATTATCACGATCATTGGTATTACAGCAATCTCGATTTCTTTGCAGTTCATCTTCATTTTATTTCGTTGTGCTAATGTTGTATGGTGACCTGGACCACTGCGCATTTGTGCTAAATGCCTTATTGATTATGACTGACTGATTAATGAATTATAATTTTAGTTATTTATAGCTGATAAGCTATCTACTTAAATTGATGGATATCCTACTTAATTGATTAAATAAGTAGTTAGTTCTTACTGAACTACGAGTCTTAAAATATAGAATATCTGGTTAAATATTAATTTCTGAGATAAATGTTTTATTCCTGTATAACACACTCAATTCACGTATGGTGACTATCAGATATAACAAATCGTTAATTAAATCTTAAAACCAAAGTCATCAACACCACCAGTGGGACTCCGTTCCTTTCGTTCATGTTAAATACAAACTGGTAGATTAAGTGGTTGTCAACATGGTGAATGTATGCAGTCATCTATTCTTTATGTTCAAATTATCAATGTAAGTAGAATTCCCCTTTTGGAACTTCCAGTTAATTTTATGGCGCTTATGACGTTACGATGCTTCCTACCTTTTTTATTTGTTTTGAATTGCTCATACTTTTCAATCCCTAATGACTAATGTCATGCTGCTGCATGGTCACTTAATAACTGGAAAATTAATAACATTCCACAGATTCATCGAGTCGCCTTAATTCTCAGTGTAAATTGTGCGAATGTTTTGCCTGTGTACGTGTGTGGTGTTTAGTCATCATTTTTGAACAATTGTAATCGGCTTTGTACTTAAGTTGGTCTTTGTAATGGAGATGTATTCATTCTTAGATTGTTTTAATTTTGTGATTCCCTACTATAATAACTGAAAGAAATTGAAATTTGAATGAAATACCAAGTGGTCCATGAGAATAGGGCTATTATCATTATCAATATGATAGAATTGGATGTAGATACTTTTCTATTATGAAAATTTATCATTATAACACATGACTATATTGTTAATCGTTTGTAATGATAACGTGACTAATTGTCAGATGGTCAGATTTCTCTATAAATTGCCTACAAACTTTGGGTTATAATGTAAAACAGTAGTGAGTGATAATTTCTTATAACATAGTGACTTTATGGGGTTATATTGTGACTTCCTAATAGATTCAGTTGATAGCGTATTCCTACTTTTAAACCGTCTGTTTCATTGAACAATGGATGACTGTAACATTAAACCACTCGCAGGTTTTCTTTTAGTCTGAAGATACATTATGTAATGGGGGTGTAGAGAAATATGTAGAATGGTATGTGTCAGAGAATCTACGAGATAGTAAAACAAGAGATAAAGGTGGTGAGCTTACGATTTTGTAAACATAACATGCAAATAAATTCAATAATAACACAGGTTTGAGATTGAAACAATTAAATAATGGAAACTTTGAGTTGATAGCTTGAGATTTCGAATGTTTAACAGACATGTATTTGAGTTTTGTGGCTTTCCTTCCCACTTAGCTATCGAAATGAATCACATCTACGTTAAGGTTTACTAGATATTGTATTTGGTTTGACTTGCTAAAACACAATAATATATCAAGAATTTTCTCGTAAATCATGGGCATTTCAAGTTACCATATTCAATATTTTATCGGTGTGAATAGGATGCCATCGGAGGGCTTATTCAAAGGTGTATAGAAGCTTGGTCTTTAGCTGCTTGACTAACTTCTACTAGTACTCTTCGAACCTCGTTTAAGTTTTGCGGTTAAATACTATTTCCAGGCCTCACACCCTTAAGTTTAACTAATTGCCTACTTGCTAAGGTGATCACACGTTTGTCCGATATATATAAATAATGAAAAATGTCATACGAGTAAAGGTAACTGCGACTGGTTTTTTCCTGATTTAATTCTTCACATGACATTTTCTTTTTTCTGATTGACTGCTACTATATTTAGTTCGATAATTGTCTCTATGCTTGAAGGACGTGCTTTCGTTATCATATATGATGAAATGTACCATTTCAAGCTATTCTCCTTATTATACTTGAATATCAAGTTTTTTCTGCACATTGTCTTCTTCATGTGATAGTGGCCAATTAATTGTTGAAGTTTTGTGTAAGAACTTCCGTTATCGAGTTCTCAATAGAACTGTTCGTTTTCGAATAGCTCAATCGTCCCTCTATTTACCAGTATTGTGAGTCAACAAAAAACGCTTAGGAGACAAAATCTTTTTGTCAAAATATAACATTACTTGAAAAGCCTTTGAAAGACTAGTTCAATGGAGTATTTAAATGATATATGTTATTTCAGTTGCTATGATCTTTAATTTAATGTGTACTATTGGCTCTTTTTCTTTTCTTTCTTTCATCAGAACATACGCTCTCAGTTTTTTCTTGTTTTTATTTTTTTCTCTCTCTCTTTGTGTTCATTTTTCATATTCTTTAGAAGTATGGAAGCATTGAATATAGATCATGTGGTTTCGGGTGGATCAATGTCTCAGGATATTAGTGAGTTATTTTTGTTTGAATCAATGAAAGACCAAGTTATTGTAATATTGATTTATTTGTAAACGCTTTATAAATCCTTGATAATACAGAGTTGAAGCCTATTTCTATACAAATATATTTATTTTCAAGTTCCAAAGTAATTGAAATCGATAGTTAGTGCTATGTATCTTAAATTTGATGAGTTCCAGTATATTCCTTCATACACGTCTTTTCATTCCTTCTTCTCGAGTCATATTCTCTATGTTAAGTCCCCATTAACATGTACGTAATGCTTTGATATATTTATTATTCAGATCTAGGACGTTTATATTCAGTTGAATTTTACGATTTCTTTCAATATTCACTGTGTACAAAGTAGATTGTAACAAAAAAAACTAATTGGTTCGCGTACCATATACAAATAAACCCCCCAAACTTGATTTGCTTAACATCTTATTTTTCATTCTATCACAAAAATGAATTTTCTCCAAACATTTTAAATGTCTTGAACACCGAACACACAGGTATTTATCTCTCACTCCCTGTTATGAAAGATGAAAGTCATTCATTTCTGTATTTCGCATGAAATACTTGAGAGTAATTTTCTCGATTTTGATTGGATTGTTCTAAATCTACACTTTCACTGTACTCAGTTTTCTACGAAACATAAATAAGTTGTCATTTGAAATTCATAGATTACAGTACATTGTATCTATGTATGTTACTTTTATAGTCACGTGATTTATGCGTTGTAGTAATGAATATACTTGTAACCACTGCCGGTGTTCTAATCAGTGACATAGAGGAACGTCAGAATTTATGCAACCTATCGATAATATGAAAGAAGACAGCAATGGATTAGTTGATTTATTGGTAGTATCTTAGGCAAATCATGAAAGAAATATTTAAATGGTAATTTGTGGTTTTTACAGTCCTACTATTATTTATCTGCACGGGTTATATCTCTAAATTTTTCCACACCTTCAAGGTTGTTTGCGGTCATATAACGCAGACTATATGTTGTTTAAATAACTAGGCTTAAAGTTCAAATCCACATTATGTTTGTCTTTTCTATTATTAGATTGTTTATTACGATTTCAAAAGTAGAGAACTAGTTGAATTCAATGATTTCAAACAAGTTACCTTGAATTGTTTACTATCAAGTCTAGCACATATACAAGGTCGTTAGAAATACATGTCATTATTTTACCGTTAAAAACGTTATCTTTGTTTTTATACACCTAGCATACATTTTGTTTTAGTAATCAAAAATATAGGTCACCCAGACATTGATAGCATGTAATAAGTTCTATGAGATGAAAATAAGAAGTTTAATTATTTATTCTTTGAGGAATCCAAATGATATTTTGAAATGTCTAGTGATATGTACACTACCAACTTTTCCATATTTAAAATTCACTTTTATTTGGTCGGCGGTAATCATTTCCTGCACATAACCTCTTATTACATCATTCTATGGTTTAGAAATGCAACCTTCGAAGGTTGAGAACATGCGTAGGTCGGTAGGTTAGGTAGTATTTGATCATAAACACCTCGAGGTTATACTTCAGATTTGCGTAATCAACGTGGTGAATAATTCTAGAGTTTAGGCGTAGAGTACCAGGTAAGAATGATAGATCGATTAATGGGCCTATGAATAAATTTGAATGCTTTACTTTCACGTGAAGTTTGATTTGATGATGTTGTTCAAGAGAGCAATGAAAGCTTCACGACTTAAACATTCACCTCTGAAAACAAAATTCCATTTAAATAATTTTCCTGAGTTACAAATTTTCTCCATTATCTGGGAACAATGTTTTTAAAAAAAATATTTATCCGTTATAAGGTAATTTGTTTCTCAGATTGTTGGAAAGTTAAGATAATGTCGATTTGACGACACGACTACGTCATAACAGTTGTTAGTTTTGTCTTTTTTTTACTAACCACACGAGATAATGACGTGACCGTAAACCATTTTCACATCTGTTTTATCCATCTGATATTTTAGTCGTGTTTGATTGTCATATGAATAAGAGAAATGTATCACACTGTTGTGACCTAAGGAAGCTTTATCGATTATAGTTATCTCGTAAACCCAAAGAAATGTGTACTTGTCAAAGCGATTAGAGCAATAATGAATGACTTCGTAAGTTCACATCGTGTCTTGGTTTGGGTGCTCCTAGCCTTACATAATTCTACTTCTGCGGTATCTTGTACAGAACGCTAAGATAAGTGAGGACTGGGCTTGGGTAACGCGTGTCTCAGTCACATTGTTAGTTAAATATGCTCAAACAATCTTTGCCCCCAAATGCCCTGCTACGGTCGAGGGTTCTGCGAGTCAGCTATCCCTCTCCAAATGCTCTCACATGACCTCGCATATACAGTCACTGCCAGGAAAGTCCCACTCACTGCCTTCTCGTGGTATTGCTGTTGTTTACGAAACTGAGAGAACGAAAAGCGAATATCTGGCGCTTTAACCGGGATGGACACGGAGGATCCATCTAGGGGAGTTGGAAAACCCTGATTCCAAACCGACTGTGCACATGTGGTCCAGGATCCTGAAGGAACAAATGGCGTATGAACCAGTCGTTGGTCACCGGTTACCATGGGACTGCATTTCCTGACGTTGCTACACTGCCTGGTGGATTAGACTTTCAGGTCGAAGGCTCTGGATGTGGCCCTTTAGGAAGACTACCTTCTTTGGTCTGGGCACGTGGACAGTATCACAGCCTTCACACAAATCAGTAATAACTACTACTGGCCTGATTCTAGTCACTCAAAGTGTTTAGACAACTTAATCAGTAACTTCATTAAGCAGAATTATATACTTTAAGTCATTGAGAGAATCAGCAAGTAGAAAATTAATGTCATTCAATGCTATTTAATTGGTTTTACTTCACTGTGATCAACAGTGAATACACTAACAAGCTCATTTTATCAGGAACTAAATAGTTGCTCATACTCTGGCATATACTGTGGTGCAAATAATTCTTTGGTTTCTTTAAAAGTTAACTGTGTCACATACATTTCATCATTCAGTTGTGTTGTCAGTGTGTACACAATTTTCAAACTCTAAGATACTAGATCATTGAATCAGTTTGTTTATAATAATCAATAAATTTAATTAAAATACCTTATCAACTAAAATGAGAATCGATAATTTTTTTTGCTAAAACAAAGTAACAACAATTAACCAATCATTGAGTAAAATGATTGTATACGTTGGTGTTCATGTTCAACTTACTGGACGTTTTTAAAATTGCACATTATATATATTTTTCTTGAATATGAATTAAATTGAACTAAAGTGAACAAACAAACAATTTGTTTAAATTACTGAATATAAAAAAGCTGTTAATTTCTGAAACTGCTATTTAACTGTCAATACTTGAACATTTATTCATTGTATCAGGTCCAAAGTTAAAATCCATTAGTTAAGACTTTGACAGATGGAATAGTGTCTTTTAGAGTTCATGTGAAACTAGGAAATGACTCAAAGATGAATGCGCACATAAAACCATAATTCATATGATGTCAAGTGATAGCAACGAATGACCACATTTTACCCTGATCGATAAAATTCGATCAGTTAGTGCAAAAGTTTTAGTCCTACAGATTATCGGTCATTAATCAAATAACCTAATGTTAATATCTTTTATTGTTGTGGAATTGGATGACACGTGTTTGAATCTCACAGAAAGCACCACTCCTCTAAAGAATGCAAGTGTGTCTTGGTAAGGACTGTTGACCAACATTAACCCTAACTTCAGAACTTTCTGCCTATTACCTTTAACATATGTATTTCATTCAGTTGTTCTCTTGATCGTCTCACACTAGCTATAAATCAGTAAATAAACCAATCTCATAATGTGGAACTAGCTGTTGGACAATGGTTATTGTTAGTACACCCTATAATCGGTTTATTTCAAGTCATATATTTCTTTTCAGTATAAGCTTGTGAAGGTGGTTGGATTTCATTGAAATCACGAACCGACCAATGTTAGACAACCATTGCAAAACTGGAAGCACTGGATGACTGGTTCGTCCTATCATGAGGCTTCCCGACAGTACGGATCAACGACCTCTCATCAGGGATTAAATCCACGACTTTTGATCTCGAACGTGAATGCTCAACCCCTGAACCACCAAGCCGAGATCAATCATGTACAAGTTAAACTTCAATCAATCCATGATACTGCTCAACCACCCATCTTCGATTTCTTTCATTGGGTACCTACCTTCCTCACACTTGACACCGTTAAACTGTACTGTTCATGGCTTCTGACTAGAAGTTCGACAATTCTCTCTCAAAGCTAGTCGCTAGAGAGCACATGGTGATCGTCAATACAGGGTTTTGGAGATTGTTGAATTTCACCTGTCTAACTTTTATTGGCTCGTGATTTCTATGGAGCGAGAGTTTAATTGATGGAGGTTATTCTCCAAAGGAAGAACGAACATAAAGTAACCAGAAATGTTAGATAACTCAATCTTTTCTTGACACAAACATCTGAACAATGAACCAAATAACAACAAAGATCAGTGTGGAAATATTGATTGGGAAAAAGTTACGTTTACAAAAATGAGATAATTTGAGGTCTTCTCTGGATTGACTACTTCCTTACGTTTTTGTTGTTCAATTTTTTTACTCTTTTCTCTCTGAACACATAGGTAACAGTAGTGAAATTACCAATACATCTCCACTGGCACAACAACCATCTACATCTCAAGGAAAACTTGATGAATTAATGTCAATATTTCCTAATTTAAAATCAAACATACTTGAGGAATTTTTATCACTTGCACATGATAACGTTTCATGGGCAACTACATTGATTTTAGATAATCATACTAGCGAAAGAACAAGTCAGAAAATTGAGCAGAATTCTAATCTAGTTGCAAATAATTTATTGTTATGTAAATCTATTGTTAGTCAAACTTCTGAACATCCATCGACAGAAGTAACAGAAGCAGCCTTAGATCCTGCACCGCTATCACCAACAACTTGTACGCCTAGTTTTTCCAATATCTTGGAAGACAATACAAATAATGTTGGCCAAACTACTTTGTCATCTGTAAAAGAATCTCAATGTGAAAATGAAATAGGTCGTACTTTTAATCATCAACACGGTATTAAGTTTTCAAGAAGTTTTCTACAAACAGCACATGAAGAGTATGCATTTGGTCTTGGCTTATCAGATGTTGATATATGTAAGTTCAATTGACAATTTCTTAGTTACGATACTTATTTACTCCTGTTACCCTTCATGGAGGAACATAGTCCACCCACCAGTAAACTCCATCCAACTCTGTCCTGAGCTATCATTTCCAGCTGTTTCCAGTTGCTATCCAACCTTTTCATGTCTACTTCCTATTCTCGACGTATTGTGTTTTTTGGTCTTAATCTTTTCAGTTTCCCTTCACGATTCAAAGTTAGGGCTTGCCTCATGATGCAGCTAGGTGATTTCCGAAATGTATGTCCTATCCACCTGCAAAGTCCTTTCATAATTTCCTCTTCAAGTGGAAGCTGGTTTGTTCTCTCCCACAGTAGACTGTTGTTAATGGTATCTGGTCAACGAACATGAAGTATCTTGAATCGGCAATTGTTTATTAATACTTGTACATGTTTGATGATGGTTGTGTTAGTTCCTTAAGTTTGAGCTCCTTACAGTAGAACTGTCTTGACATTCGTATTGTCGATTGTGAGTTTGATATTGGTTGAGAGTTGTTTTGAGATGCAAATGTTCTCCAAGTGTAGGGATGTTGTTCTTGCTATGGCAATCCTTGCCTTTACGTCTGTATCAGATTCTCCTTGTTCATGGATTATGCTGAGTAGGTGGTACGTGAAACTTTCCACCAATTGTGATTGTGTTAATGTTCTGTGTGTTGTATTTGAGGATGTTGCTTTTTCACCTGTGTTTGTTGAGGTCTACTGATGCTGAGGCTTCTGTTACACTAGTTGTCTTTATCTGCATTTGTTCGTATGTATGTGATGGAGGAGCTAGGCGATCTTTGCAATCCAAATCGTCTAGGTGCATCTAAGCTGTTCGTTGTGTTCTGTGCCTCTCCAAAGATGTGAATGTATCTAATAGTCGTTAATTGGACTGAAAGGATAACAAAGCTAAGTTATAACCTGATCATTACAAAACTATGTGCTCGATTATAGTTTAAATGTTGTTGACGATGAGAAACTAATTTTATTCATCAACTCAAACAACTGAAAAGTAATCGATGATTTTTTTTGCTTCATTATAACACTGGAAATTAACAAAAGTCTTTAGTTATCATGACTTCCATAAATGATCAGTATGAATTTCTTTCTATTCGCATGTTCGAAACTGTAACTTAATAACTAAAATTACAAGTCAGTGTATTAGGTTTTGAAATATATATCTATTATATAAGAGCTGATGATATTACTCTATTATTTACAATTCTCTTTCTATGAATAAGTTGACTAAATAAGCTGAGATATTTCTCACTGCTTGGATTGCATTTATCAACTAAATTTTGAAGTAAGACAATAAGGTTTTTTGACTTTCAGTTATCGATTTTTGGAGATATTTTACCGTCATTTAGAAGCACTATTGGGTTCTGTTTTAGAGGTCTGAAATTAATTTTACATAACTCCCCTGGTTTTCATTGGTATTTCAGCTGATTTTAATCCGCAATGTGTAAACCATCTTAACTTATGACAGTAGTTTGTAATTCAGGATCATATCAGTAGGTCTCTTGTTTGTTGTTTAGGGAAAAGAAAACTTTGTGAGAAACTAAGAAGATGCTAAATATTCTTTCAACCTTTGAATTATGACTATAAATGTATTCACATTGAATGTAACCTAATAATCAAGTACAGATTTATTTACTTAACTGTGTTAATTGTGTATGAGTTACTAGCCGTTATCAATTTCATAACAAGTAGACAATATATACCACAAGTGTTGTGACAATTACAATAACATTAAAGCAATAATCATTATAGAAATATTGAGTGGTGACGCATCAATTCCCATTGAATTAAAAGTGGTGGTTCTATGAATGAGAGATTTCATATCTTATCTGTCGAAAGTGATACGTTTTGTATTTAAGTGCTTAGACTCACATTTTCTAGCTACGTCCTAGTTCTCATAAATTTTAACTCTCTGGCTCTGATGAGAAGCAAATGGAGTACACGAAGTACAAAATATAACTTTACTTTCATATTTGAAGAGATTACGAGCTCACCTAAAATTGGCGAACGGACGAATAATCAACGACACAACGGCAAGTTAAACTATTCCAATGCGTCCCAGCTCCGCTAACTGGAGGGAGAAGACCAAGTTCAGATGAGGGAAAGTTATATTCCACAAGCAGTTAGAAGCACGAACGAACTAAGCACACAACTCAATCATAATTGTACTACATAAAAAGGTCCTTGGGAAACGTCACAAAGTAGCGTATTAAAAGAGGCAACGAACATTTAAGGTTCTTTCCAAGTGGAAAATAAAACTTTAAGGTAAAAATGGGCGTTTTGGCACGAAGACGAGAAATCCAAATTTCCAAAATAAAATCACAAAAATAAGACGTTTACCAAGTGATTACTGGGAGACTAGCATCCGCAATAACTTCGAAGGTTACTTGATGTACTGAATTATTCATAAGTTTGCTCGTGACTTTAAGATCCGAAAAATTGCTAAACTTAATAACAAAGCCAGTAAGCACCCAATCATGGTACAACACAACCTATATTGTTCTAGAATTCTATCGAAAATTTCAAAACAGATCTGATTGAACGAAGTATACTCAACGCTGTCTCAGCTTTTAAGGAATGTTTCGAGTCATTATTGAAGGGCTTCAACAGGAGAATAGCACTGTGCATTTGAATGCATTGAGTTTTTTATATTGGCACAAACTTATTAAAATGTGGTAGCTTAGTAAAATCTTAGTGTTTCTGATATGTAGTTGTGTGTATTGGTTATTTTCTACAGCTCCTGATGCAATTCCCGACTTTATCATCGATGAATGGACACCTGAACCTAATTTGATCAAAGAAATTTATGCCAGTTTTATGCGACATTTAGGTGTTCTCTCAAATAGCACAACTAGTGTATTAACACCGAAATTTCCGCCATCAAATACACGGAATTCAAATCGTAAGTTTAGTTAAAATGTGTATAATGTTTAAAATACCCTAAGGTTTATGGCTAATAATATGGAAGAGGAAAAAACCAATAATTTATGGTATATATATATATATATATATATATATATATATATATATATATATATCAGTGTGCCATTTGATAAGTCTTCGAAATGAACGCTTGATCAGATTTCTTATCCGCTGCTAATAACCCCAGAATAAATCGAAATGGCAACTTGAACACAACAGGAAAGGTGCGAAGTGCTTGATTCCAAGGTTAGTTTATGTAAAGAGCGTTAGATGATGATTGGAGGTAGTCGACAGGAAACCCTAGACCCTGGATTCGATCCCGTGTTACCCAGCTTCACAGTCAGAGGACCGAGTCCGTCAGGGAGCATCAGTTCCCACAAGATTACGGGTACACCTTGCTGACGAGTGCCAGGTAGCACGAAACACGGGTCCAGGGTTTTCTGTCGACTACGTCCAACCGCTATCTAATCTCAATATAGTGCACGCAATGTCGAGTCACCTAGACTAGCGGCTACATTGCAACTTGGTCGATAGCATTCGATCTGCACTAAGAAGAACTTGACACAAATGACATTGATCACCACCCAGTGATCAATCAATTGTGATGTACAGAGCATGTTTGTAGTTACGATCTTGAGCTTCTTTAAGCCTCTGGAACTTTACTAAATGTGGTAGCATTATATGTAAATATCTAATCAGAAACGTGACTCGCTTCCTAGATGTTTCTAAGACGCGTCTATCCAATGCTATTTGGATAAAATGTTTTTCAGCGTTTTCTGGGCTCCTAAGGACTTTTCTGAGGAACACTTTGAAACTCTTTAACACTATTCTAGTTTGACAAGGCTCATGTAGCGTATTTTAAATTATTATGTCATACATATTGATTAAATTGCAGGAAAAATTGGACAACATCAATTTTATGTCAATGAATTAGTCAGTTATCATCAACTTATTTTCTCACACAAATACGTGTTGGTCCAATTTGCCGTTCCATATCAATAAAACGAAAGAAAATGAACACGATAAACGTCGAATTACTTGAAATAATATATTAGCAATGGTAATCAGAAAGACTAGGCATTTAGAATATGATTTGAAAAGATTATGAAAAGTTAGGTATGAAGGAATCCTTGAACTAAGGATCTAGAACTAGAACAAGATAAAGAGTAAGTACTTCTGGGCTATTATAACAGATTCTAAACTATTTTACCTAAGGTCTCCAACAGCTGGTCGCTGTTATCGCATAGATTCCAACCAAGTAGTCTACATTTACTAACACAGGTCAGTCTGACGGTAAATAACTTCATGGACTAATAACGCGTGGTTTGGCTTCTCATAGCTTTTTTCTAACTTAATCGTAAGCCGGCTTGCATAACTGGTCTTGGTAAGTAACAGTTACATTGCATATTTATTATCGAAAATGTAGAACCTACGCACCATTTTTCACAGACAAACGAATAAAGAGAACTGCTGCTCAGTATGTATGTAGGATTAACTAAACCATTAATTTTCTGCTTTATAGTTTGTTTTTGTAAACCTAATGAAAACTATACTACTCTTGTGCTTTGATTTGTACCTCAAGTGAGAAAAAGAGAATTAGACGAAGTTAATTAAATCTGTTTGAGGCGTATGATGATCCTGTTTCATACAACTAGTCCTACTACTATTAACGCCACTATTACCATTTTAAATGACTCTATCAATTGTATGTCGTATAGTACACCGTTGTGCATGAACCGTGAATAGAATATATGTATTTCAGTCCGTCAAATTTTGAAAACGTTTAGATTTCGCTACGTCGACCAATTTTAGAATTCTTTTATTTCACTGAAAATTAGTTAGTGATTACACCTAGTTAGTGGTAGTCAGAATGGACATTGAATAATTGTTACTTGTATTACCTGATTGGGATATCGTAAATGAAATTATGTATAAAAAGTTTTATTCGGCTCACCACTTCTATATCTGGATGTGTCGTCGCTGTTGGGTCCGCAGTCTTTCTTCTTTTACTTGGTAATCGTGCATCACTCCATCTCCTATAACACAAAATACAATAATTATCATACAAATTTTCACACACAATAATGTCACATAGAGGAAACTGCATAGAGTTACTGTAAAAATACACACACTAAATATAGTTCACTTGAATTGATACAGGGAGTACAATTGTTCAACTGAACAAACGTTTACACTTGTCATATTGAACAACGTTTATACTGATTTGGTACACTGAACAAGGTTCTCACCTATCATCCTGACCGAAATCCAAAATGAATTGGTGTAAAACAGTATTAACCCAAACAATTTTTTCATCTCAGCATATCATATATAATTGAAAAAGATTCCTTCCATTCTATTAGTTGACCGACTAATGGCGAGTATCCAGTTAACGTATATATAATCAAGGCTTTATACATTATTAAAATAGTCTTATCCAGCGCGTAACTAGGTATACATTTCTTATTTATTTTCTGAAAAATGTTTATTCAAACAAGGAAAGTAACCAATGGTGTCATTGAAGAATGAAGACAATTCAGCGGGGAAAATCTTTTCAGCTATATCATTTACCCAAGCTTGTACAATCGTATTTATAGTAAATTTACAAATGAAATAGTCCACTGAAAAAAATAAAAGGACAATTACCTTATATTATGTGCTAAAGACAATTGAAGAGAGATAATAAGATGAAGTCAAATGTCAGAAAGATAATTGTCCACTTGACGATTATGAGAAAGGTGAAGAATACGTTAAAAACCTGAAGGTGATGTTAATGAATAATTAAAATTAAGACTAAAAAGACACGGGGGGAATATAATAAAATCAAATTACTGTTTATAAGTGTTAGGGCCATGGAAGGATGATGGCTTGCAGGTGTCTCTTTTGCACACAAAGTTCAGTTTTGGAAATATGGATTACTAACGCTTCTGCGATGTATCACTTATTAATTTACTCTCTTTTTGAACCAAATTGTCTAATTGTACAGATGATTTTAAAGGACTCATCAGGTGAAACTATGTGATCTGAGTTTATAAGATGTTTTGATCTTATGCTTCTTTTTACTCTAGGACCATAATAAAAATTATTTTCAATAGATTGATTAGTGAGATTAATAATTAGTTTTGTCCCTGACTGATAAAATTCAGGTTAATAATGTGAGAAATAAGCTTCTGAAAATGAAAAAATAAAAATTCAAAGCGAAAATCTGAAAATTGTACAAAGATATTTTCAAAAGACTATTGAGATGTTTGAAGACAATTCACTGTTTTCCTGTGATAAATATATCAGTATCCATGTTTATTTCCTAATACTACTTGGTTGTTTGGTCAGACTGATTAGACTGTTCACATATGATTTATAATCAGAGGGGTTTTGTGGAGATTGTAGTAATTTAACAATTGAATTCATGAGTCAATTGAATAAGACGATGGCGTGATTTCGTGGGTTGGTTGAAGTTAGACATTAACATCGTTGGATGTCGACCAGCTCAGTTGTCTATAGGTTAAGAGTTCGTGCGCGAGACTCATAGATCCTGGGTTTGAATCTCTCAAGGCGGGATCGTGGATGCGCACTGCTGAGGAGTCCCATACTAGGATGAAACGGCCGTCCAGTGTTTCTGGGTTTTCCATTTGACTCATGAATTCAATTATTACATATTATTTACTTTATATTTCCTCTTGAATCAATTTCAGAAGAGACTGAAGCACTAGTCAACTGATCACATAAAACATTGAGAAATTAAAGTCGTTTTTTCTGTATAAACCACCCAAGACAATTTGATAAATACACATTTGATCAATCATAGGTGAAAATAAATATAATGAAATATTGGTGACAGAATCACAGGATTAGTCAGTTTTTGTCAATAATGTTAAAGCTTTATTAGGAACACTACGTGCACGAGTTTTTTTCTATATTATTGATCAAAAATTATTTTTGCTAATCTAGTTCTGTTTACGAACAACGTTGATTCGTATGTCGATGTTAAGGCTAACTAGTTTTCATATTATCATAATCTGTTGACACAACAGATATTTGAATATAGCCGGAACAACAATTGAGGCAGGATAATATGAATGTAAATTTAGAACAACATATATAAGCGAACAATATTGTTTTCGATTAGATCCTCATCAGGCTTTACTCTAATATACAGTAATATTTATATGCATATACGAAATTATTAAACCAATCAAGGTAGTTTATAAGTCAATGATAACAATGGAAAAGATTACATAATAAGTAAAATGTGAAAAGTACAAATTGATGGTGTGACAACAGGTGTATTAGTTTTTGATAAGCAATAATAATAAAGGTTCAAATCAATGTTACATAATCTGAAATAGGTCAATGATTAGAAAAATATAGAAACTGAGATAACAATTATAAAATTATAAGATGACGTAATAAGAAGTGTTCAGATAATTGGACCATGAAACGTATAGTTGAGAGAAAATAAAGTGGTAGGAGGGTGTGAAGAAAAAAATAATAAACGAAGAGAATAAATAAATAAATAAATACATTCATTTATTAATTAAGGCCAAGGGAGAGATAAGGGAGTTACACATTTCTTCTGGACACAAAGACTTGGCTTGTTGGCTCGGATTCCTATAGCTTCCGCTATGTGTAAGAGACGAGATCGAACACCATAAGGAAAACTAGTGGGAATCCGATAAATAACTTTGAACGACTTGTTTCTGTCCACTATATGACCGCTATCGATCAAGTGTGATAGAACCGAGCTGCGTATTGTTTTGACATAGCCTTTTCCTAACCACGAAGGGAGGTGTTCACTAACTCGTTGGCTCAGTTGCCTGGTAGTGCGCCCGATATAGCTTTCTCCACAGGAGCAGCTGAATTCGTAGATACACATAGAAGTGGCATAACCAGGTAACTTATCCTTCAATTGCGGAATCACCATCGATCGGGTCGAATACGATAGGCAGAGGTTGGCAGCATTAAACGTTCTCTTTACTGATTTAGTCAATCTATCCCGTAATACATCGCTAGCCAAATCACCATTGAATTGCAGTTTCAAGAAAAGCGGTTTCTTATTAGCCGTCAGGGTCACTATTTTCCTGTTTTTTACGCGCAAGTGTTTCTTCAGGAAACCCAGTGGATATCCTAATTCAATCAAAATATTATGAATGTGTTGTAATTCTCTATCGATAGTGTCGACTGAGCATATCTTAAGAGCTCTATTTGCAAGGCATTTGACTAAGTTTCTCTTATAATGAAGAGGCACAAAGCTTAAAAATGTGTGTATTGGCTAGGCGAAGAACTTTCCTATACACACCCCTGCTGATAGAACCATCTTCTTTTCTACTTAACAAAACGTCCAGAAAATTTAGTTTGTTATCTATTTCCTCCTCACATGTAAATTTAATAGCAGGATGTTTGTTATTAAATAGTTCCAGTAGTTGTTCTTTTCTAAGGTTTTGATCGGCAATGATGAAGGTGTCATCAACGTAACGACAGTAGAAATCCAGTTTATTGATAACCTCCTTGAGAGGTCCGTTTTCTAGTTTCGCCAGAAAAAAATCCGCAAGGATGGGACCTAGTGGCGAACCCATCGCTATACCATCAATCTGTCTATAATATGTGTTATTAAAGACAAAATGGACATTCATTGTGCATTTTAAAAGTAATTCTTTAAGACTAACCCCAGGAATTCCAATATTGATTTGTTTTTCCTGCAGTTGTTGGCACACAAAATCGATAGTCTCTGTTAACGGTACATTGGTGAACAGGGAAGCAACATCTAAAGATATCATTCGTTTCCCATTTAAATTTATATGTTCCACTTTAGATATGAAATCGAAGACGTCTTTCACGCTTCTATTGACGACTAATTTGTGTAAGGGGTTTAGGATACGAACTAGCCACTTTGCAGTTTTATGATAAGGCGAATTATACATATCTAAAACTGGGCGAAGAGGAAGACCTGTCTTGTGAACTTTAGGTAAACCATATAGTCGCGGTGTGTTCGATCCAGTAGGCTTGAGTGAGTCATGTAAGTCAGGAGTAAGAATACCTTTATTTCTTAATTCCTTCAGTGAGATAGTCAGCAATTTTTCTGCCTTCATATTTATAATGTCGTTGAGTTTCTGAAATTTTGTCGGATCATTCAAAATCACGTTCATTTTATTAATGTAATCAGCTTTGTTCATAAGAACTAGCCCCCCTCCTTTGTCCGGCTTGCTTATGATTAGAGTATTGTCGTTTCTAAGTACATGTAAAGCATCTCGGTGCTGTTTGGTAAGTGGAGTTTTCACCGTACATTTACTATTTTTGTATTGTTGACAGATGTCTACCAACGTGGTCTTAAACCTGGTTAATTCCTCAGGAGAAGTAGGCACCAAGTTCCAGTGACTGAATTAGTTTTGCTCCCAGTTTTTCTGATCTACTTTTTGCCACCATGTTATTATAACCCATAAATTGTGATTTTATTTCCAGTGGTAGGTTATCGGCATATATTCTCCTTGTGAAAGATTTCTTTCTAGATTGTTTATGTGTAATTTTAATGAATCAGTTTGGTTAAGTGCATGCCGTTTAAGGCTTCTGGCATTCGGATAAACTTTGTTCCGGCGTAAACATTTCTAATATATTTATAATATGAATTCATTATGTTTCGTGGTTTCTCGTCAGCTGCCTACAACCATATGCGTATCAAGTGTAACTTCGAGGTATGATGATGTATGAGACAATTGATATTGATGATGGAAATAGATAAACATCATTCTTGTGGATCTTCGAAGCGTAGGTATATCACCTAATTTACACCTGTTTCTAATTGTCACTTTGACATGTAAGATGTTATATATTTTCTGTCTTGTTTACTAACTTTCTTTTCTTGGTCTATAAAAGCTATATTGAATGTCTAACATTTTCTGGATAACCTGTAAATTGTTCTATTGAGCTGATTGAAGAAAATTGACTCAATTAGATTATCTTACGTAGCTAATAAAGTATGGGAGTTAGTAGATCCATTACTATTGGAAGAGGACAATTCGCAACACATTCCTGTGCAGGTTACTGGATCAATCAGGAAGTTATCCGCATAACGTATCAGTTGTAAAACGTTCGTTTATTTATTTTGATGTGTCGATTAAATCTTTAATAAAAAAAGCTTATTGGCTTGTTTCAACGGTTTATTGGAGGAAATCTCGATCTTGCTGAGAAAACCGAATTAGGGTTTGATAGTAAATGATCTAAACTAGATAATTCTACTTCAACTCGAATATACGTTCACAACCTTGTAGGGGGTCGAACCTTAAGTCTCCAAGTTTCAAAGTAAGTTTTGAAGGCTTTGAGTCTAATGTTTAGTAGAGGCTACGGATTTATACTGCTGAAGAGTCTTATGTTAGGACGAAATGGTTGTCCAGTGACTCCTGAATTTCAATAGCTGTCTAAAAATGGTCAGTGTCTGATGTAGACTTTGAAACCTTGACTGATCAGTGAGTTATATGATACCTTTTTTCTATATCCTGAGAGAGGACTAACTCTTGTATTTTATTGTTCTTTAATCTTTCTGCTGATGACCTTCCGATTGATTCCAATTGATGATTTAAACCTTTTTTCGGAAAAATGTCCTCATTTATTTTCAGAAAATACAAAGAAAACTACTGTAACACCATCAACAAATATAACATCAAAGAGATCATTTTCAACATTTTTACAAATTATGGATGATGAAGAAGGTCTACTGCGTTCTGTAGAAGATTTTCGAACGGTAACTACATTACTTATTAATTTGAATTATTTAGTAAATTGAATAACTCTATCTTTCATCTTCATTTGTGTTATTAGGTTTGTTATCGTTTTTCCTTCGTTAAAAAATATTTGTTGGTAACATTCTCTTTGTTGCATCTGTAGTTTACTACAAAATATTCGAGTCTATGCATTAAACAGAAAACTTATTAACCTCTACTTGTTTTAATATACATATGTTCAACTTGAAACGGAATTTTACATGTGGAGTTTCATCTACTTATGAGTAGCATAACTTGGGTTTGGCTTAATCAGTCTTTATCTTTGATGATGTAAAATAAGTTCTTTATCATTCACCGTGTCAGTATGACATGTTATGAAATAAAATTACTCATCTTACTGTTTAATAGTATTGTATAACTTCACAAAGAAACTTAGAAAGTACTGAAATGGATTTCTTCCGAGTTCATGGAGCCGTGATATTTGTACCTACAAATTATCACTAAATATTTGATCTTGGACAAAATTTTGTAAAATCATGTTACCAACTTATTTAACTGCTCAAAAGTAGTTTAATAAATAGTAAATTTACATCACTCTGTCAACGTTCAGTGATACCGTTACTGACTTTGGAATTTCTATGCTGCTGTCGTTAGAGAGATGACAAAACTAACATTCATTGTAGTTCTATTTAACTTATGAGATCCTTCAATGTGTCTACCTAGTTTTTTAATATTTGTATTAACTGTTTCTCAAAGCTTTCACAATATTTCTGTACAGATTTACTGAAAGGTTCATGAAATTTCTCAGTATTCTGAGAGCCATGTAAATAAAAGTTTCTGATCTGAGTAGTGATGTCCTCCTCCTTATGATAAATGATATTACTTCTTGAGTTTCACACAAAAACCTGGAAGTCCCTATCTTTATGCTGATTGGCTCTTCATAAAATTCCACATCCTGATCGAACTATGAAACATTCAATTGAATTTCTACTGGTTTTAAAACTTTTAGTAATCGCTTCAAGAGAAACAGATGAAAACTCATGTAATTAACCAGTCGACTAAAAGAAAATCGATCAATTCCCGAGTCAACTGTTTTTTCAGTTGAGAAAAATGTTACAATAACACACATATAAGTGAACAATACTGTTTCCGTTTAGACCTCCATCAGGTTTTACTTTAATACATAGCAGTATTTATATCGAACCACACAAAACAGTTTGTAAGTCATTAATAACAGTAAATTAGATTATAAAACTTTACATGGTGAGTAAAAAGTACAAATTTACATCAAGATAATAGATGCTCCAGTAGTGGTAGGAATAATAAAAGCATGAATCGATTTTCCAAGATAAAAAGTAGGTTAGGGCTGTGGAAAATGGACACTAGGATAATAATCACTGAAGTCATTAAAATTACGTAATAAGTGAGTAAATAATCAGATAGCGAAGACTGTATACTAAAGGGTAGTAAAGAATAAAGAACAAATGAAGGATGTAAAAAGTTAGTAAAGTCGTTTACTAGATCTTATCCAACTAGGGAGGAGACAGATGTGTTACAGATTTCTTTTGAATACATAGACTAGGGTTGTGGGTTCGAAAGCTTACAGCTTCTTAAATAAAGTTGAAATTATCCTAACTATGATCTCCACAACTTCGTAATAACAATTATCATGCCCTTACTAGTGACTTGCTTTGAAAGGGAATTGTCGAACTTCTAGTCAGAAGCCATGAACAGTACAGTTTAACGGTGTCAAGTGTGAGGAAGGTAGGTACCCAATGAAAGAAATCGAAGATGGGTGGTTGAGCAGTATCATGGATTGATTGAAGTTTAACTTGTACATGATTGATCTCGGCTTGGTGGTTCAGGGGTTGAGCATTCACGTTCGAGATCAAAAGTCGTGGATTTAATCCCTGATGAGAGGTCGTTGATCCGTACTGTCGGGAAGCCTCATGATAGGACGAATCAGTCATCCAGTGCTTCCAGTTTTGCAATGGTTGTCTAACATTGATCGGTTAGTGATTTCAATGAAATCCAACCACCTTCACAAGCTTATACTGAAAAGAAATATATGACTTGAAATAAACTAGCTGTTTCATTTTAGTGGTTGTGCTGTGTCCTATGTCATGTTTTGTCTCACTTATTTGTTAATGTTATGTGTTGTTTACTTTTGTCCGCAGTCCTTAAATACTCCCGTCATACGTTTGATATTAAACCGGTTGATGTCTAAATTTCCTGGGACACAAAAAAATGTTGTTGAAGAAGCATTTGTTCGATGCGAGTAAGTGGTTTTTTTCGCATATTTATTGTATGTTAATTGAGATTACTTTGGTTCTCGTTGGTGAACATATGAATTCAGAAGATCTGGAGATTTGATACAAACCATTTGATTGATTTGTTCCTCTTTTTAAATGAGGTTTAGACTATGGATAGAGGATAAAAAAAGATGCATTTTGACGAGCAAATAGAAAGCAAGGCAAACTTCTTAACCTATTTGAACTCACTTAGATGTGTCTGCATTCACACTCATAGCGGGACTCAAACCAGTTTTTAGTGTTCTCAACTCTCAGTACGATATCTGCTGAGCTACTGAGTTCAGATGGTCACTCGCTTGGGTAACGGCTTTAATATATTTAGACAATTTGTACAGATTGCTCACTTAGCAAATATTGATCAAAATTTAGTCAAGAATACCAATTAGCGAATAACTTAAACCCTTTCTATAATAATAATATGAGATAGAAAATGTTTGTAAGCCAGGATGAGGATTTCGGATGTGTTGTGTTCTTTGAGCTTGATAGTTCAATCGCAAAGCTTTTATTCTCTTTTTAAGCAACATTGCCATCAATTACTTCAAAAAGCAATCTAACGACTGTGAGTTAACTCTATAATATAGTAATTTTACATTAGTTTTCAGATGTGGACATCATCCTGGGTTGTTACAACCTTAATAGTACAATATAGTCCTATGATACAACTACATAGGTATCAAGAATCCTGATGAATGAAATTTCTTTTTGAAGTATATGCTGACAATATTGTCTAGATAATGAAAACTTCACGATCAAACGATCATGCTCGAATAGAACATCTTCAATATTTTGTCTTTTCACGTTTGCCTAGATTGTGATGTTTCATTATTTCACATAACAAAGTTGTTAACTGACGTCAATACGAAATTTAGTTGTAAATATAGTTAGAAATAATATCCCGTATGTTACATTGATCAGGAACTCTATCAAACAAACTAAAACTCATATCCCTATCTTACTTTATTTATGAAGTGTTAATTCTTCAGATTTTTCTGTACAAATAAATACATACAGCATTTCGTACTTGTCATATCAGTTGATAAACTCGGATAGATCACTTTAATATAAACTGAGTTGAGTTTTTTTTAAAGAGTGAATGCAACTGGATAATTAGGTTATGTGAGACGTTACAAGTAAACTGGTCCTTCCTGACTCGTCGTAGTTATGCTACTGTGTTTGATAACCCTCTTCGTCGTTGATTCGAACTGTCTTGTCGACCAAACTTTTATTTTATAAACTTCAATCAAAAGGTTTACATTGACTTTTCATTGTATGTATATGATCTGGCAACTATTTACATTAATGCTGTTCTATTTAGAGCATTTGACCTTATAGTTCCTGACAAAACGTAGTGAAAGTCTTTCAATTCTATACATTATAGAAGCTAATTGTTGTTACTGTTTGAATGATCTTATTAGGAAGCTAAAACATCGTGTAACCAACTAGAGTTTCATACTATTCGTTGTATTGTGTTTAACTGTTTGGATGTTTAATAAAATCGGCCAAAATCCTACATAAGTATCTTGTATTTGTTAACACTTCTCATTTAAAAGATTCAAACATTTAGTCTCTAATTAATCCTTTGGATATGGAAATAGACTAAATACAATAACTGTTATCTAATTACCTACAAATGTTATGTCCGTGTTTGATTGATCATAGTTTATTTCATAATAGTTCTATTTTGTATACCTTTGAACAATTTACTTTTGATGATTATTTAGTTTTATAAACTATTTTTGGTTTGTTTATGTTACATCTAATCTTATATTATATACACTTAATTATTTAACTGAATATTCGAACAATAGACACTTTGTGTGTGTTTATCGTGTTCATTGAATATGTACACACTCCCTGCGTGTTTTCAAATTGTCTACTGTTATCCACGGTATTGCACGATCATCTTCCATTGTATTCTCTAGGCAAATGCCTCACATCCGACACGGTTGAACTCTATCGGTCATGGCTTCTCACTAGAACTCCCAGAATTACCTCTTGAGGTTAGTCACTGGTGAGCACATGATAATTATCAGTATAGGGTTGTAGAGACTGTTGAGTTTTGATTAAGATCATGAACTGTTGTATTTGCTTGGCTGCTCCCTTTCTAGTTTCGCTGGCTTACTAAAATATACTTTTCTGTAAACTTCTCCCACTGACTATTAGTTTTATACCATCTTGTCCAAAGTGATGGGGGCGTTTGAATCGTGAAACATCACGAGGCAGTATAGAACAATAACTATTGGAGTCAGATTAAAGCCTAAAGACTTACCTCTATATGTGTTAATTCACTTAAAATGTATTTTTCTTGAAAAAGACTCCCAACAACAATCAAACAATGTTTTCTTTAGATTTGATGAAGCTCGGACAGAAGTTTATCTTTTAACTTATTATAAATCAACTATTGAATCAGTGACAAAGTCTACGACAACAACAACGTCGACAACCACTAACAATTCATCATCTATTCAGTACTGGAATAACATGTCGTCAACTGTGAATCAACAGTCTATCAATTCAGCTTTTATACCTAATAATAGTGATAATAATGGCAATAATATTAATAATAATTTGGTTGGATTAGATTATCATCAGATTACGGAAGAAAACTTGAGTTTACAAGAAATTCAAGATGAAGAGGAAGCGCTGAATAGATCTATTGAAGATCAGAGAGATGTATGTAATTTTTATTAATTCTAAATTAGTTATTATTACATTATACGATGCTTGATTCACATACACACGTTTTTTTATTCACTTGGTCAACCACCCATACCAATAAGGAGACTGAAAAATAACTAGAAAGCTGTAACCAGCCAAAAGAATGAAAAATTAAACAACTCATTAGTATATATACGTTTGTCCTGCTGACCCAGACAAGTGGATATAGTCTGTGCTCTTGACTAGAAACATAACTGGCTCCCTTCAATAGCACCTCTCGTTTGTAATTTTTCATCTGCTGTTTGATCTTGTAATGAAATTTAGACACAGGCACATGATTTATGCCTAGACTAGTCTAGCCTATCAGTTATAAAGATAATAATGTAAAAAGTCAGATTTCGTCGCAGATCAACATTAACAACAATTATGTTGTACTGTTTGGTTGTTTTGTTTTTGCTTGGGGGGTTCTCGACAAGACGCATGTATAACTTCCAATTGTTTGAAGATAGTCAACATGAATTCGCATCTAAAGTTCTATGACATACTTCTAATTTTTTAGATCCAGAGTTTTGACAATTCCTTAAATAAATCCCTATCGATTATATTATGTACGACACAGGAACTGATAACGTCTAAAATAACAAAGAAAGCTTTTCAGCACAATCATTCAAATTAGTTTAGTCAACAAAATACGATTAGATGCATCTACCTATGAGCTGAAAATCTCGATCATTTCAAAATCTTATAAATTGTTTATAGGATAGTTAGAGGGTTGGAAAGCTCAAATTCTACAGATATTACTTTTTTTAATGCTTAAGCACATCATCAACATATTGTGTTTATTTTGTTTTACTAAAACTAACTCAAATCACGAAATTTGCTCATCTAAACATAACTAATTGTTTCAATAATCAATTGTATTGTTATATAGTTTTTTTTAGTATTTCCCTAAGGAATTTTCATTGTAATGTGGAACAGTTATTTAATGCTCTGCAACTCTTCATCATTATTTGATTGATGTCAATTTACGACATTCTGATGATGTGAAAAAAAATCTAGGATCTATTCATTGTGTAGACTTGGTGGATACTTATTCTATTTTCAAAGAATAATTAAATGTATATTCCGACATATATACTATCAACGTATGCGTGTGATATTTGTGCATGCGTGAAACATACACACATATGATATTCAACACTATCACGTTCTTTTTTATACCTTCATTTTCTTCAATTGTACACATTCTTAAGGATGGTTACATGGTATGAATTAGTTTAGTTCACGTGAAAATATTTAGTGTGATGTATATATAACTAATTGTTTGATCTCTGAGTATTGACTAGTATTATATTTGTCCAGTCATTTTGAGCTCTGATCAAATTTTGTTAATTAAGTTTTAATGTGACCACTTAGTCTGATTGACTAGTCATTACATGCAATATGTTGAGAATTTAGGCGATTATATTTAGTTGGCAGAAAACCCCAGGCTCTGGTTTTATGATACTGCTTCGAATTCCACAAGGAGCATCAATTCGCTTAAGATTGTAGGTATACCTTGCTGAGGAGTGTCAGCTAGCACCCAATCTATACCCATAGTTTTTATCAAACTACTTCCAGCCACCTAACATCTCAATATAGTGCGCAGGATGTCAAGTCAAGTGGCCACATTGCAACTTGATCGATTGGATTCAATCAGTACACGACATTTTTCACTATTCAGTAATCAATTGACTGGAAATATTGTCATTCTAGTTTCATACATTCATCACTGGATTTCCAGTTTCTGTTCGAGTGCATCGCGGCATAGATATTGGGTCGTTCACATGCTTACAATTATATCGATATGTTTTCTTCCATCTTAAAAATATGTCAATAAATAGGTTTCTTGATACCATTCTCATTGAAACCAAATGGTTTGAGCGACGAATTTCAAATTGTTGGGGAGTCCCAAAAAAGAAGTATCCTCAATGTCTCTATGGGCACACAAAACGTCAGAAAATGGTTTATCTAATCAGGGTTGAGTAGAGGCTTCTCGTAAACATCTAGGAAATGAAGAATCATATGTTCCATTTTTGATTAGATGTTTACCTATACCATTACTACGTTTAATATGTCTTCAGAAATTTCTAGAAGCCTAATGTCACACATAACTATAAGTGCTCTCGACTTTCTGTACATGAACTAACCTTAGAGTGAAGCTCTTACTCGTATTATGCACATTTTTTTCTCTTGTTCCACTTAACGTGTATAAGTAGCTTAGGGTCATAGGAAGTTTCTTAGAAGGGAGCAATAAGCATTCCAGTAGCATATTTCTTAAGAATCAATGTAGAATATTACAAATACTATATTCTTAAACCCTACCATATATTAACAGAGGTCAAGTTCTTTATTTTCTGAGGTATCAAAGTGTAGAAACGATTCTTCAATTCATAGAGTTGAATTAGTGATTAAACTCATGTTATAATTGAATATTGGTAATCATAATCCCATATTAGGATTATTTATTCTGGTCCATATTATTTTATGTAAAGAAAAATACTTACTATTTCTCCCCTACTTCTTATTCTACTATTATTACTACTACTACTCTCACTGTAATTATTATTTCCACTTTCTATCTATGTATAATCTTGTCTATTGATAAATTCTTTCATAGATCATATTTATTCTACATTATCCTTCTAATGTTTATCATCAAACATTAACATTATCCATCTATGACTTTTATTATTATTGTTATTGTTGTTTCACATGAGTTTTTGTATGGGATAGTTAGTTAGGCAACATAGATAGGTAGATAGTTATGTTTTAAGTGAACATTAACCTTTTCTTTTCATGTGTATTTTTTAAAATGGATTCCAATAAACACCAATGAAAATAATATGATTCCTTATAATTATTTCGTTTAATATATATATGTAACATTCAGCTTAATCAGATGCACATGTTAGTGATAAAGGGTAGTTGAAAGAAAGTAGAAATATATAAAAGAAATGTTAATATTGTACGGTTGTGGTATGATGTTGGTTTATTCCATCCTAATGATTTATTTACATATACAACGTCATTCTCTTAGATCTTGAGTTCTCAAATTATTCCGTACTTTTTGATTCGATGGATTCATTATTTCTTTTTGAATCATATTGTCTGTCTCTAACATTTCCTACTGTCATTAATAGTACTACTACTTCTACTATTCTGGTATTCGTTTCGATAATTTCATTTCGCTTTACTGATATGACTTGAACCGATCTACAAAATGTGTCAGATTCTGAGCTGACTATGACTAGCTGTCTGATTGGATTGATACAAGGTCATCAGCTCGACTTTCCGCAGTAAGTGCGGATGATTTTGTATGAATAGATTATAAAATATAACACTGTCATAGAGTTTATCCACTTCCTCTCAAACTATGAATCTTTCTCGTTTTACAATATCACCGGTTTGAAACATTTTCCCCCTAAAAATTTCTCTACAAATAATGATGAATATAGAAAAGTGAGTTGTATAAATGTTGAGATTATTGCTAGTCGTATGTTTCTTCCCATTTTGGACTTATCAATTGAGAGTATACTTAACTCAGTGTTGATGTTCTCATTAACAATGAAAAAAGCAGAAAAGAAGAAAACTCATAAATTTAGTCTACTCATATTTGAATAAAACTAGAGAAATGGTTGAATTTCACTCCATAAATTATAGATCTATTCTGTGTGACACCATTTGTTTTTAGAAATGGTAGGTATGCAAGTTATTTATCACTACTTGCTTACGATGTTGAATGATAGTACATTTCACACCTACATATCATTGTAGCACTATCAAAGTATTTCAAATTCAGAATAACATTAAATCCAAAACTAATAAAAGCACTTGTTTAGAATAGATAGATTGTGGCTAGCATTGAAATCCGAGGCGCGCATTTCATTTTACTTTGGACTCGTCAGTCGGATCCACATACATTTACATTGGGACCACCCGGACAGGATGCATATGTATTGACAAAGACCAATGAAAATTCAGTCCGTAATATCAATAAAAAGATAACTCAAGGCCTTTTTAAAGATGATATAAGAACATTTTTTATTTATACATCAATGATGTTCACAAGTTCATACGGCAATTTGGTTCCCTCCGTTGGATGAATAATAGTCATCAATATAATATATAATAATAATATTTAGTCACCAAATGAATAACATGAATTTAAGATGGTCAGGCCAAGTAGTTAAAGCAAAACAACTGTGGTGTGACGGTAGTAAGGTGTTTCCTTCAGAAAACCAGCATAACAGCGATGCTACCTTCCCACAAAGCAAGGGTGAGGTTAGAAAAGGTTGACTCTAAAAATGCACACCCCGCCTTATCCCATGGATATCTGTCTCCGGCGGTAAGGTCCCAACAAGTACGGAGCTAACATGAAAATTACCCACAAAAAGGTCATGTGTGACCGACCTCAAGCAGTTGTCCCTTGGGCACTGCGGTCACACTCTCAGGTGACTAAGACCACCTCTAGCCCAATTTCCTTTTCAGGTACCTCTAGAAGAACCCTTCCAAGGTCTGGGAAACCTGGAGCTCCAAGTATAATGACATTTTATGCGTAAGTATTATATTTGAAATAATCTCAATGATAGAGTATTAAATAATTTCACAGATTGAAATCATGAGTCAGTTGAAGCTAGACCACCATGGAAAACCTGGAGGCACTGGACGGCCGTTTCGTCCTAGTGTGGGACCCCCCAGCAGTGCGCATCCACGATCCCGCGCCACGCGGGATTCGAACCCGGGACCTACTGGTCTCGCGCGCGAGCACTTAACCACTAGACCACTTAGCCGGCATCCATCGGTGTTAATGTCTAACTTCAACCAATACACGAAGTTGCGCCACCGTGTACCATTGTCTTCAGTGAGCTGATATCTCACAACAGACCTGGTTGAACTCCACTGGTAACGGCTTTTCACTAGAACTCCAGGAGTATCTCTTGAAGTCAGTCACTAGTGAGCAGATGACTGACTCATGATTTCAATCTGTGAAATTTCTAAAATCTCCACAATCTCCTGATATTAAATAATTCCAAATTTTCGCTCGGCTAACTTGAACTATTCCAGGTAAATGACGGAAATCGATATTATTCAAACGTATATAAGGTTTCGTTAAATTCCATCACAAGACAAGTCTTAACTTGAAATCTTTAAGGCCAAAGAAAAATATGCAAACTAAAGAACGCATGACACCGGAAATAATGGACAAACATCACAATCATAGATAGTACTTGGTAACAATAGGAAAGAAGAGCCTGGGACAAAGTTACTTGAAGGTTCTCAGTAGGCATGCTATGCTTTACAGAGAGTATCACACTTAGGTAGGTAAGCTATACAAAATTTCAAAAAACAAAATCACACTAAAAGTCTGTTTTATTGATTAATACCTTGTTTAAATAATTGTCAATTATAGTTCAAGGAAGATCGTGGAGGAGTGTATTATTGAAATGTACAATACTCTACTTATGATAATCCTATACAACAAGATTTTTACGACATAATTTTCTGTTTACTATCATTTTATTTAACTTTTTTTCTCAGTAAAATAGTGTTCAGTTGCTTTGTTTCTCCGTTTATTAAATAAAGTCTCTTTTTTAGCGTCTTCTAACATTGGCCAATCAACTTTGTTTGAGTCGTTTAAAAGCACAGTTTCCTGGAATAGATATAAATTATTTGGAAAATCTTTTCATTCGATTTGAGTAAGTATTTATTATTATTATTTAATATATTTTTGTGTTTCATATCTTTTAATTGAAAATCAGTTGGGCCACCGGTGATTTTGAATGATGAACAATGTAGATTCTTTTAATGTGTACTCGATAGTACGGTCACTGATGCATACAACGCTTTAAAAATTGTCCTGACGATGAACCCCAAGAAGAAGAAGAAGAAGACAGGAGTGCAGTAAACTCTTTATACTCAACGAAGTCCAAATTAAAGAACAACTCTATGTAAATGACAACAAGACAGGAATTTAGAACACAAGAAAATTAGAAGACTGTTAAGGGGAATTCAGATTATCTAGATTTTTGTTATTACAAGTTAGTTCTTTCGTTGAAAGATAACTTCGGTGATATCTGATATCTGCTGAAATCTGATTAGCTGTTTCCCCTTTCAATTCGCCATTTCTATCGTTTCTCAAGGTCAAAGGATATTACGAACTGAACAAAGTTGTTCCATTTCAACTTTTGACATTTGTCCGACGTATAAAGCTATCCTAAAATTCTTGTTTTAGCTACCTCATATTAATAGTTGAAATATTAGCATTGAAGTGCTGTTGTTTTTCAGTTGTTGTTTTATCGATTCCGCCATATAATTCGTTTGTATTAAAATAAGCTCAATCATTTCGTAATTAACAATCACAGAGGACCCGTATTGAACCCTATCTCAAGGTAAATATAACACGAACCGAAAATAATAAATACCTGTCAGAAAACAGAAAAGATCATATGGATGAATCAGTAAAAGCGGAATTTTATTGCAGTTTTTATTCCTGGGAAGAAATTCGCTTAGAAATTTCGCTAATAGAGACTAGATAACATGAAGTCTTCCATAAGCTATGATTATTAGAAGCAGTTATAATGATTACTTCATCATCTGTTTCTGCATACTAACAATCTGGTTTACTTTACTCATGTTTCAAAACAGATCCGTTATATTTGTAAAATGCTTCATTTAAAGAAGAGAACATCGGTGTGAGTATGTGAAAGATCTGGTAGAACACAATAGATGATGAATACATTTTCATTTCAAGTTGTTTTCATTTATTATTCCTATGTCTGTTAAAAGTGAACTAATTGCATGAAATTTCGAAGATTCTGAGTATTGGTTACCATTGGTCGGCATGATGTTCCTGGGAGCTGAAGGAAACCTCATACACTCTATTATGCATGCGTATACATGTGTGTATTTCTGTCGAGTTATTTAAGTGGTATATCTAGAGTTAAAAATATCCATGATTAGTAGCAGCTGTTGAGAACAATATGAAATGGTTTGGATTATCCCGTCGTGATCGTGATCTAGCTTGGGATTTGTGAAGCAGTGGCTTGGCGATATTCGGGATTTCCTTTTCAACTAATTAGTTGTCGCTTCGTACCCTTCTCTTCATACAACTAGTCAATGACGTCACTATCTATAGTAGCAGAGTGATTCAAACATAGGTATTTCAGTGTTCGTGGCCTTCGTGAGGTTAATAATTGGTTTGCTTGAAATAAACTGCCCATACCCTGTTTGTTTTTCACTTCCGTATGGCTTTGAAAAAGTTTCCTCTTTGGACTCAGAGGCGAGAACATATGAGTAAATTAACTACAATATTGGATAAGGATTGTGTTACACCACAAATTTGATTAAGTTCGAAAAATGAAGACCATGTGAACATTAAAACTTATTGGCATCCAAGTTTATCGTATCTACTGTAAGATCTGAAGATTCTGAATTAAATCTCATGTACAATTGTTAATGCATGCTGTTAAACGAGTCATCTCAAACTGAACTGAAACAAGGTGTTGAATTTTTTGATTGAGATCATGAACCGATTGATGTTAGTCCACCATTGAAAACCTGGAAGCACTGGACGACCGTTTCGTCCTATTGTGTGGCTCCTCAGCGGTGCGCATTCACGACCCCGCTCGCGGGATTCGAACCTCGGGCCTTCAGTCTCGCGTGCGAACGCTCAACCTACTGGACTACTGAGCCGACATCCAGTGGTGTTAATGTCTAACTTCAACCAATTCAAGAAATTGCGCGACCATCTTCCGTTGTACTTAGGTAGACACCTGTTTCTACCCGACACGGATTAGCTCCACTGGTCACGGCTTCTCACCAGAACTCCGAGAATTTTCTCACGAAGCTAGTCACTAGTGAGCACATGGTAATTATCAGTATAGGGCTTGTGGAGATTATTAAGCTTTTGGTTGAAATCATGAACCGATTGATGTTAGACCACCATTGAAAACCTGGAAGTACTGGACAGCCATGGGTTCGAATCTCGCGAGCGGGATCGTGAATGCGCACCGCTGAGGAGCCACACAGTAGGACGAAACGGTCGTCCAGTGCTTCCAGGTTTTCAATGGTGGTCTAACATCAATCGGTTCATGATCTCAATCAAAAAATCCAACACCTTGTTTCAGTTCAGTTTGAGATGACTCGTTTAACAGCATGCATCAACAATTGTACATGAGATTTAATTCAGAATCTTCAGATCTTACAGTAGATTTGACTATAGCGAATTTCCTCGTCTTAGCTGATGTCAGTTCATGATGAAAACCATAACCTTTAATCCCTAATTCTTAATCCTAACCCTAACCAATAACAATGTAGAGACTTTTTAAAAAAACTACGTAGGTCATTTTAGAAGTTAGAGAAGACGGGCAATCTGTATTTACATGGACGAATTTATATATTGTTGCTTGTTCAATTTACAAGAAAAGTATCCTTTAAAAGACGCCAATACATTCGTTAACTGAGTTAAAATCTGTGTTATGTCCTAACGTAGAATGAGTGTTAACTTCCAGGAATTATTTAGAAATTATCACCATACATATATATATTCTTATCATATAATTAAGTAAATAGATCATATATGTTTATATTCCTTTCCTCATAAGTTTTCATTCGACTTGTGGGCTACCGCTATATGGTTTACCACTCTTAATTTATTCCTACTACGTTAATTACAGTCTCCTATACTCACAACCACTTTGGGCATGATCTTCTATAATTATTATTCTTCATTTCATGGTATGATGCTGTCAGGCCTGCTTGTATATAAATCATGTTTGTCTGAAATATAGGATTCATACAACGGGGTTTTTTGTTTGTGTTGTGAACCGAACGGGCTAGGTTAGGCAAGAAGTTATCACATAGGGAATCGATAAGGCTTGAGAGTTGACTCAAGGCTGCTCGTTTTGATTAACGCATTACTGGTTTAGTACAGGGACAAGATCATATATGTCGGTGTTCTGATTGGCGATTTTATGACGTCATATTTAATGAGCCATAGGACATAAATTGGCGACGGAAAGGTTTGTTTAAATGAACCTACGTACCTACTTTTGTAGTCGGATATATCTTACTAATCGAAAATAGAGACTTTCGAGGTACTACTAGATCAATTTGTGCAAGCTCAAATGGAAATTGTCAGTATAATAGAGAAAACTGTCCTTAATAATGTTAACACTGGGCAAGATCCAAATGTTTCGATGTTGGATTCCGACCAGTCTAGTGATTATTTAACTATATCGAGTGAAGTCCTGAATTGTTGTGGGAATAATGTTTCAAATAAATCAAATTCCTATCAGATTTACGATATTACTTTACCAGATATGGATTGTCTTATTGATTCATGTATTTCGAATGAAATTGTTTATAAATATGTGGAGGATTTGTCGAGTGCATCAAATCCTGACGAGAACTCTGATGCCTTTTTATCAGATATGGTTTGTCCTAATGATTCGTTTATTTCTAGTGAAATCTTAATTAAATGTGAGGAACAAGTTATAAATGCGTTAAAATCTGATTACAGTTCTGATAGTGTCCCATCAGATGTCATTTGTCTTCAAAACAAATTTACTCCTAGTGATATCCCTAATGAATGTGACAAATATGTCCCAAATTAGTTGAATTCTAGTCACATTCCTGATGTTATTTTATCAGATTTCGGGTATTCTCACAATCTATGTTCGGTAGAATCCCCAATTAGTGGAATGATGAATCAGAGGGCACGGGAAGTTTGTCTGAAGCAATGAGAGAACCAGTTTGCTCAGGGAGAAAATCTAAAATGAGTCCTTATAATAAGTATGAAGCAAATGCATATGTTCCGTATGATTGTCTTGTAGGTGTATCACATGTGTTAATCACATATATCAATGCTGAAAGTGCATATTCATGTTATAACTGGAACAATGGCCTTATGTTTTTTCCACGTGAAAGGCGATGAATGGAACATGTAGCATATTTTTTATGCAAGTCAAAATCACATGTCGATTTGTATGCCTAAATACTCACATACAATCAAAACTTAAGCTATGAGATAATGCAGATTGGGAACGTTAAATTATTTATAACATTGCAACATAAGGTCCCTACATTGTTTCATGGAGGGAGGTATATGCATGCAATGGTAAGTCATAATTCTGATCAATCTTTTCAAACGGATGTGGGACAGGGCTGTCTACAACCTTAGAGGGGAAGGTCGTGTGTGGTAGTGAAACTAAAATATAATTAGTCATTGAGCCTGGACAAACAGGCACAGCGTACTGACTACTAAGTATGTGATTTCCTTTCGTGCTATTGATTTCTATTCCGAACTCACTGAGTGTGAATGCCTGTAATTGTGTCAAATGAAAGTATTATCTAGTGCTAATCTGGTTTTCTCTTCCGGGTCGTGAATTCTGAATCTGTTATAACGTAACTAGCCTTATTATCGTATCAACGTAACATATTCTAGATTCTGGACAAGCCAATCTATTCATTTTTCACAATTGATTGATCACTGGTTGGTGATCAATATCACACGTGTGAGGTCCTTCTTAGTGCAGATCGAATGCTATCGATCGAGTTGCAATGTGGCCACCAGTCTAGGTGACTCGACATTGCGTACACTATGTTGAGATAAGATGATGATTGGACATAGTCAACAGGAAACCCTGGACCCGGGTTTTGAGTTACTCAGACTAGTGGTCACATTGCAACTTGGTCGATATCAATCCATCTGCACTAAGAAGGACCTGACGTACATGTCATTGATTACCACCCAGTGATCAATCAATTATGAATACATCTCAGTCCTACAGGATGTCAATCTAGGTCCGGTTAGCCCAGTGGTAACATCTCTGACTATGAAGCTGGGTGACACAGGGTCGAATCCGTCAGGAAGCGCCAGCTCCCTCAAGATTAAAGGTACACCTTGCTGACGAGTGCCGAATAACACGAAACCCGGGTTCAGGGTTTCCTGTTGACTACCTCCAACCACCATGTATTCATTCTTCTTGAGTCACGTTTTCACTTTGTCAATTATTAACTTATCAACCTTGACTGTTTTTGTATGAGTGTATGTGTGTACATTCCTTATCCTACTCATTACATGCTTGTAACTTATTTTTGTTCGGCCATAAATATCGGTCAACGCTTGAATAAATCGAGTTGACTTACATGCCTTCTCCACCGCGCATCATCTCGTTTCGCTTCGTTCCTTTGATCGTCTGCTTGGATCAATGATTGTATAAAATATACATATTCAAAAATACATTCTCGTGTTTGATTTATTTAATTCTATTATTCACTAATGTGAGTTATTGGCAGAATATATATTTCAATAACAATCATTCATACAATCCAATTGGAGTCAGATACGGGGCCACTAAATTCCTAGTATACTTGAGCGAGAGGGAAATACTTTAAACCATCCGTTATATCATTGTTTTTCCCATAAATTATCGATTTCTGATTGACCAAAAGTTGGCCGGAAATTAATCCCGGTTGTTTTAAGCTCATCCATTTATCATATTTATACCGCATATATTGGTGTAAGACAGGAATTTGTTGCAATGCTGTTCACGATTGGTGTGAACAATTTGTTTCATGTGATGTTGAATTAAAAAATTATCGTGATCACTATTATTGCTCTACGTAATTATGTTGTACTATTTTGTAATTTCATGCTAAATATGTTTTTTCTTCTTTTTCGTGTACTTTTTTTATTAAATTTAGTTTAAACGAGCAAAATCTTTCGGATTATCTCATAAAACAAGGTTTTGTAACTCACTCGTTAAATCCATTTCTCGTGGAAACTGTAAATAAATACATTGAAAATGTCGACGATAATGATAGTAGAGTTTCACCAGTTTCATCTAGTCAAGGTTATGTAACTGATATTAGCAATAGCAGTATTCATAATACTGATTGGTTAAATTTGGTTAACCAAAAGATATCTGGTATTCGACAAAGGATAGGTCGTATGAAGAATGATCTTTCATATGCTAACGATAATCGAATTAAACAATTCCAAATAACTGAGGTTTGTGTTTCATTTGTTTGTTTGTTTCTGTGGGTTTTTTTCCTTGGTTTTAGTGTTTATTATATTTCATTAATTAGTAATTGTTCATTTTATTACGTATTGTTATAGTCAACGACCAAGCGTGTTCCTTAATGCATCGTTGTTGTCTGTATTTTGAAGTCATGAGGTGTAGAAACTAATTGAGGCGATTGTCTATTATTGATTAAAAGATGAAATTGGTTTGCTTTCATACGTAGTTTGAGAATAGATTATTCGGTGTTGTTTAGATAACTCAACAGTCTTTAATGATCACCGCAAAAATATCAAAGATTAAGATTTTATTTTATAAAGTAATAAAGATATACTTCTTAAATAACTTATAACAACTGTAATTCGCCTCCAACGTTGATGATTTGTACGTCACTGCATACTTGACTATTAAATGAAAAAGCACCTTGTAATCCTATAGGCATTATAATTGATATCGGGAGATAAAGTTTGTCAAGGCGTTCTAGAGTAATGTCAAAAGTGTGGGAGGAGCTGTCGCTTCATGGTTGCTCACAGCATGAGGAAGTACGTCTTAAGGTATCCGGAAGCGAAACTGGATTGATAAGAGGTCTTGGAGACCTAGGAGCATAACTGTAGTAGAGCCCAAGAGATAATTAAGGACGGCCACACATGGTCTTTTTACGAGTATCTCTTAATATACAGTTGGGAAGAAAGTATAATCTGAAATAAATAATGCGACCGGTGACAGTTGAACCTAATAATTAGGTCTATATCTTATTCAAGAGTAAGGGGCCTAAAAACATATCCTATAATCATGTTTATTTTAAATAATTTGTAATCATGTTTAGTTTTGTGTTTAATATTTTGTTTACAAGTGTATGTGAGGATAACTATCCTTTCTCAGTGTTTAGTAAAAGTACGATAACTAGCATTTTCGAAAATTTTTACATTTACTTAGTGGGCCATTTCCGCATATGACAGTTTAATTTTCATTGATGACTCCATTTCACTCATCTAAAGCTATTTACATATGTCTTCTGTGAATACCTTACTGTGATGCTTCCCACTTTTCTGGATTTAAAAAGCAAATGTCATGGAAGTTAGAGCTTAAAATGAAATTCTCAATAAAATTTGTGCTCTTAGGTGCAGTATCCACTCAATAGATGAAGGGAAAATGCTAGATTTTACATCGAACGGCAGATTTGAGAAAAAAGTCAAGGAGACATCTTCTATGCTTAATTGTCTTATTTTACTAGGTAGAAAAACATTATTTGATGATTAACTGTATTGTATATTCATATCCAGTTATTAGGAGTGCAATGTGAACTTATGTCAGTAGTTCTATCTTGTTGCCATTACTAGTTGAGCATATTTTATCAGTGTATCACTTAAACAACTGAAACGTGTATATAACTAATCTATAATCTCTTGCTCCATAAGCTATAAAACAATACGGAACTGTGTACAGAATAAGCCTAGCATAATAATTTTATTATTTTGAGAACTGGATACACTGAAGAAACATTGGATACTGGAGGAGGAAGGGCTGAACATCACAAAGGGTCGGGATTGGTGGGATTCAGGTCTCTTCATGGACATTGTAATTTTTTAGTACATATTAATGCTATATCACAGACTAAATGGTTTTAAAAACACGAATCACTGGACTTGGACTAATTAAGGTCTCCTAATAAAGCAGTTGTGTAAGTGCCTACTGATGATTAGTTTTAAACTTAAACAAAATCTCTGTTCAGTGCTTGTTGGTTATCTTTTAAACTGTCGTTTGTTTTTACACATTTGTTTTAATTCACCTTAGATACGTTCATTACAAAGTCAATTGCATTATTTAGAATTACAAAAAGCTGAATATCTTGTTGATACAAGATCATCATTATATGAAGATGAATTATTGACCAATGGAGGGAAACCAATTCATTCAGCTTGTTTAGCATTTGCTTATCTTGATTTACATGGATTAAATAAATCATGCGCATTACATGTATTACAACAACGTTTAACTTATTTAAAAGATAAATTAAATCGATTAAAATCATTGAAATATTTCACCGTGATAACTGGTCGAGCAGCTGGCAGTGAAAGTGACTTAGTGTCAATAGCCCCAGTGTTAAGACCAGCAGTTATACAGTATCTTTCAAGAAATGGTTATAAATTTGAAGAGAATTTTCGAGTCGGTTCTGGACATTTTACAGTTAGTTTAAACAATTCAAAATTGAGATAATAATAGAACTGACAGGGAAAATTTGTTTTCATTGATTAATAAACAAATACTTGATTACTGCAATTTTCCTATTCCATTTATATATTTTTTCTGTTTGATTATTTTTTCTAGTCTACAGCCCGCATCGTTTTTTTTTGAGCAAAAAACGATCCGGTAAGAAGATGATTTTATTTTAATTGAGATCATGAACCAATCAACGGTAGTCTAACATTCAACGGTTCATGATCTCAATTAAAACTCAACAATTTTCACAACCCTATACTGATAAGATGATCTTGTTGTTGGTGTATGTTTGATTTTTTGATAATCACTGTTATTTCTGTCACTTAGAGTTGTATGTTCGTTTGTTTCTTATTTTGTAAAAATCTCTTTTTCGACGAAAAAGAAAACGGAAGATTAAAAAAAATATTTACTCAGTGTTTTAATGTCAATTCACTGGATTGGCACAACTTGGTTAATTTATATCCTATCATGGTATAGATTGTCATTGCTGAATCAGCAGTATATTGTTATTTTTTTTCAAAAAAAAAGTCGTAATTAAACTGTAAATGTATGAAATTGGTTAGTTTTTGATTAGGGAGTCTTACATTCAATTGAGTCTTACATATTACTCATTGGAATAGTTTTGTAGTAAGTCTTGTACTTTCAATACTGGTGGAGATTTGGGAAGAGATGTGTTACTTGAACTGGCATAAGATATATTGATACTTCATTTTCGCTCAATTGCTTTTTCTGGTTAAAATCATTTGAATATGCGATATTCTAAAGGGTCTTAAAATATTATTATGCATCTTATTTTTTCCAAAGTGAACACTACCATTAAGTTCTTTTTACTGGTATCATCAAAAGTCAATCTTATTGATCAATAACACCTATACTCAATGAAATATAAATTTAATCTTTAGAAAAAAGCTTCAAGCATCTGAATTGATTAGTCTCAACTGTTGTGTAGCGTTACAAGTTTGTTCTTATCGAGTAGCAATAATTTTCTTTTTTTGACGATTGTATTCCAAATATTGTTGATCAGAGTGCTAAACAAAAACCATATGAAGCATATAAATTTATTATTCATATTAACTGGTGGTTGGGTCCTATTGTACTGTATTCCGACCAGTTAATTCTTACACTAATCAGTTTATAATTGCACCAAACAAATTTAGATCATTTGCATGGTATATTCTTTATTACTCAAACAGTAAGATGTTCATCAAAATAACGTTTCAATCTCAGTTATATCATTGAAGAAATATTGCGACGTTCCGTATTTTTCAAGATAAATATATCTTGTCTAGTTAATGCTTGGTCTGTTTAAATGCATCCCGAAGGTACCTTAAGATTCAGCTGTCACTTTCTGAAAATTTCGGTATATGGTTATGTTTGTAAAGTACTGGAAACCGTTGTTTTAAGTATCCAGGCTACAAGTTTGTAAATTCAAATTACTGGCACAAATATATTTATATTTCTTCTTGCATTTTAAGTGCATTGGGATCTTGTGTACTTGTACACGTTTATGTATATTTTACAACCGAATAACATACGTTTACATCCTTAGGATCAAACTGTGCTCTGATGAAGTTAATGAGAATGACAATGACATTTTCACGATTAGTCCATTCAGCTCAAAAGATACAACAATCAGAATTGAAATGGTTGAATGTTTAGTTGTTGAACATGTCAAAGTTGTTCTTTATAACAGATTACGGAAGATTTATTAGTAACCTTTAAAATGATGACCATTTGTAATCTGAAACTTAAGGCTAAGTTAAAACAAGGATTTTAAGTTCTTACATCAAACAAAACTCACTACCTATAAGGATGTATCGGTAATAAAAAAAGACAAATTTTATAAGAATGGTGTATAATGAGTTAAGTGATTTATGCTTTGACCCTTCGTTGCTTTTACAACTTGATGAAATTACATGCACATAAGTATAGTTTTAAAAGTAATTTGTATTCTATGCTGTATTTTCTTCCCACGATTTTATCTCAATTAATCACCAACAAATATGTCAGCCACGAATTACTTGGCATGTAACTATCCTTTCCTAATAGTAGTGTTAAAATTAATGCTTATTTATTTTATAGTTTTCCATTAAGAAGTCTTGATAATCCTTAAATAACTAAACGCAACAAACGTAGTTCAAATGAAAAACTCACTTCGTCAACAAATGAAACGAATCATATTGGTAGGTACGTTTTTAACTATGAATCCTTTGTTTCATCACAGTGTAAAGACGCCTTATTAGTTTCAGTTTTAATGTGTAGTGACCTACTTTTATCAAGAAAACGCGATTGGTGTAATGGAAGCAATTATGATTATAACCAATTGTACCAGGGATTGTTTTACCGTACTTGTTTTTTTAACGATACCAAATTACGTACATTCTTCCGTTGCTCGTGACCTTGCATGAACTTACGTTTGCTCAGTAGTTCCACTTGTACTCCTTTGGCACGATTTCGGTAAATTTCGATACCACGAGATTGCCAACAAATATATCTTGCTACAACCTTCAATTGCCTTCTGATTTCTGGTTTACTCGGAGGTTTAGCCTGTTCTGGTACGCAATCTTCTTGTGGTGATGATCATATTCAAACGTGACTCGACGTTACACTACAAATATTTGGATGTTTATTTTTTGACTAGAATGATTTCTGTCAAGATCAGTGTTTTTATTTGCTGTTTGATTGGAAAATCCTTGAAATCGTTAACTGCATGCGGTGTTGACAGGAGCATTTACTAGCGTCAACTATATAAATAGTGTGCAATATTATTACAAACTGCATGGTATTCAGTTAATTCTCTATTCAGAAGGAGCGATGTACTTTTTCTTTACTGAATCAGTGAACTGGTCCACTGGCCAAACTTTTAAATATGTGCCATTATAGTGTTGAATAATTCTTCAGAATAATTTTTACTTATAACATTCCCGGACCGTAAAAGTGTCTATACATATAACACTTATTTGAAAACGAATCTATGAATCACTCGTACATTAATATAGAGCAAAATCCCGATCACACATCAACGGAATTGCGAAATTATGATATAGGTACAACTGCGCCGTAAGTGGAAGAGGCCTGAATGACAGGCCTGTTGTAAATTAATAATAATTTGGGAGAAATAAAAAAATAACGATTTCTGTCTCACCGAAAGCTCACAGGTAGGGAAGTGCAATAATATAATAGTTTCACTATTTGGTAATTATACAAAAAATGGTAACTTCAGACAGAACTGTTACGAAAATTGACCTTTGCTTAATTTATGTGCAGATAAGGCAGTAATATAGTACTTGTAACAATAACAATATGTTTGTAGGGTTTGATAATAATTTCCCTAGTTTTATTGACCACAATTAGCTACAGAGACCTGCATTAGGGCACCACAGTCTGCTGTGGAATCCACCTGTTGTGAGATTCTTTCTGAAGATTTTCTGTGAGTGTGGATGGAAATCCCTTCAGCTACACACTTTTGTGATGTAACTTGTTACTCCACTTTTAAATATGGAGTTTTTATTCTCGACCCTTCCTGTTTTATATTTCATTGGTCTCTTGATTTTAAATTAAACACTTATCATTTGCTTCTTTATCGAGACCTCATGGAATCCTCTTCGACACTATGGTGTGCCTGAGAAGATCGTCAACATTATCCCGAATTCATACGACGGACTACGGTGACAAATGGTGCATGAAGGACAGCTGACAGTCGCATTCCAAGTAAGGACTGGAGTCAGACAAGACTGCTTACTCTTCCCCTTACTTTATCGTCTGGTGGTTGACTGGATTATGAAAAACCCCACATCTGAAGGAAGCATGGAATACAGTGGACAGATTGGTTGCAACTAGATGATTTGAACTCTGAGGATGACCTGGTTTTTCTTTTTCATACACGCGAACAAATGCATGTTAAGACAAACAATATAGCAGCAGCTTCTGTAGTGGTAGGCCTCATCACACACAAGCGAAAAAGAGACATCCTCAAACACAACGCGGAGAACACCAACACAATCACACTTCGAAGAAGTGGAATCTTTCACATATGCAACTCAAAACAGCTGCTTGTGAACCAGTATCAAAGTCACAATCTCCAATACAAACGTCAAGACAGTAATACTGTAAGGAGCTGAGACTTCGGAAATTAACACAACCATCATCAAAAAGGTACAAGTATTTATAAACAATTTTATACGCAAGATACTCATTGTCCGTTGGCCGGATACCGTCAGCAACAATCTACTGTGGGATAGAACAAACCAGCTTCCAACTGAAGAGGAGATTAGGGAAAGACGTTGGAAGTGGATAGGACATACATTTCGGTAGTCACTAAGCTGCGTCATGAAGCAAGCGCTTACTTGGAATCGTGAGGGGAAACTGAAAAGAGGAAGACGAATGAACACACTGCGTCGAGTATGAGAAGCAGATATCAAAAGGATGAGTAGCAACTGGAAATGATAGCTCAGGACAGAGTTGGATGGAGTTTGCTGGTGCGTCACTAGTGCTTCCACACGAGAGGTAACAGGCGTAATTAAGTAGGTTTTTGTTTTTCCTACATTTCTTCTGGATTTATATAATTCTCATGAACTATTTCATGTCCTTTATTAATTTATCCACTTAATATAATTTAGATTTAAATATTTTAGTCTCCAGAACTATGACTGGTTGAAAAAGAGTGTAATGATGTATATTTAGGTGTTCTATTTATAATCGCATTTAATCTAAGCTGTCATTTGCTTTCGTATTGATTTCATGTATATCCTTATACTGGTCCTGTTGTGAGAATATATTCATCCAGCAACGCAAAATGAGCAATCTAGTCTCGATATTGGGTGTGTTTTATGCTAAAGTAGTCGGCAAAGCACATGTAAAACATGAAGCACTGAAATGCAGCATGAGTCATATGTGGTGTGTGCTGGGGTTGAATGTATTGACATTCGCTGACAAAATTCCTTTAGTAATATAACTCAAAAATCGGCAACTTTTCAACTTCTGGGGGTGTTGTTGAGGTTACTGCATGTCCATGGTTCAGGTAAGAGAGGAGGATTGGGTGGGGGTCTTCATATGGGAGGGTTAAGACACACTGTAGTAAAAGTCATAAGGACGACTTCTCTCTTAGCATTCAGGGAGGCAATAAAAAGAGATGTAGAGTATTCGAACAGTGTGGAATATCGGAAGAATTATTTGAAAATCGGTGAAAATTAGAATATGCAATCTGAAGGCTTGAGACGAATGACGCCTATTGGATACAATCTGAGCGGAAAAGACCGGCTTTGGGAGGTCTGTTATAGTATTCTGGCCACGAATACGAAACTTTCGCGCACGCAGATAGTTGTTTTATTGCTATCCAAAGAAACGAAAGAAAAACGTGCTTACAGTATTAGAAACCGCCTTCTTTAAATCCATAAAAGTATCCTTCAAACAGAGGGAAAAGATTATGTTCAACATCTTCCTGCGCTGCATGCATACTAATGGTAGCAGCGCAGACGATGAAGATCAGACTTATGAGTGGCTTAAGTTCATTGTGGAGAAGTGCTCATAGAAAAATCTAGTCACTCTGATCG